AACTGCTGTGGGTGCTGGAGCTGCCTGCAAGCCCTGGTCTGTACTTCAGTCTCTGATTTCCCCCTTAGTCCTCAGAGGGGTCCTGGATTTGCCTTTAWGGCTCTCTGGTGGGAGCAGTGGACAGTCCCTGTCAGAGGAGATGGGCAAGGCTGGCTGTGCCCTGCTCTGGGACTGCTTGGAAAGTGTTGAGCAAAGGTGGTATTTAACTATGTCTGGAAGCCTCAGGTGATCCTGTCATGCAACTCAATGCAAACATGTGCCTGGATGGGAGCTGTTTAACTTTTGTCCCTCGGCACAAAGGCCAGAGCAGGCTGTGTGTGCTGCAAGTTATGTGGGACAGACTGACCAGGAATGGTAAAATGGTACCTCCAGGCATGGTCACAAGGAGCTGGCACAAGTGGATTTTTAAATTATGTTATTGTGGCTGATGTGTTAAGGGAGTTAGATGTGACTTAGATTGAAATACTGATATTTGCTTTGCTCTCAGGACTAAAATGACTTCTGTGTATTTATTWTCTTTTCCCCTACCCAGAGCTGGAACATGAAAAGTGAAGGATATTTTTGGGGGAAATATAGGCCCTTCCCTCACTAGTCTGGCAGGAGCTGCCTCTGCTGGAAGCTCATGTCACTTCAAATAATGTTTTTTAATACTTATTCACATGGGAAGATAGAGCTGTCTTTGCCTGTTAGCRCTGCACACCTCCCTCCTGTGGAGATCAGCTCTGTTTGGGCTGTTTCACACTGATTTGAGCTGCYCTGTTTCCAGTGCTGTGTGGCTCCTCTGTTTTTAGGGGGTGAGCTCTCTCCTAATGCCTGCTCCTTCACATGCCTGGCATGAGCTGTGAAACCTTCCTGGTTCCTGGGCTTGGTGGAAGTGCATGGAAATCCCCTCTCTTGGGCTTGGTGATTTAGAGTTTTGCATCCCTGCAGCTCCTTGTGYTGTCCAGGAGCCCTTCCTGGTTAAGATGATGTGGTTGTGTGGTGTGARGTGACATGTCTGTGACAATGCAGGGTCTGGGGAGGATATTCCGTGTAATGCTGCTTGCTGCAGTGAAATGAGGGGCTCTGGTGCAGGGCACCTGAGAAGCTCTGGGAGCAGCTCACACCTCCCTGTCCCTGCAGRCTGCACAGAGTTAACAGCTCTGTCCCCTTGTGCCACCTCCCCGGCTGGCCCAGCTCCATGGGCTTTTGTCTAGGAAAGGTTGACTTTCACCTTGCTCCTGTTTACTCCTAGGCTTATGTACACAGTGCTGGGGAGGGAGACCAGGAGCAAGCACTGAGTCTCCATGCCAAAATTATAAACTTGATAAAGGGCTCTGTACACTGTGAATGCCCCAATCCCTACAGGTCTGACTCCCTTTGCAGCTTGCTGGCTGTGACCCTTCAAAGGAGCTTTTAATGAACTCTGTGTTTGATCAGAGACAAGGGACAGCTGTAAAAGCCAGTTTCATGTCTGGAAAACTTTGYCTCTGCCCCAAAACATCATTTGGGTTTTTTTGAAAGAGTTTTACAAAGGCTGTGGTGAGGATGTGTGGGCTGGGGCAGGTGAGCTGCCTGGTTTTGTTATTTCCCAGAACTTGCCAGCGACTGGGGAAATTCACACATTGCACAGAAACTTTGCTTGCKGCCTCAGTGCATGGCTGATCTGGCTTTGAGAAGAGGTGAGTGCTGTTGTGGGACTGTAGGGGAAGGAATACGAAAGAGAATGGGATGGGCTAGTGTTGGAGCATAGCAGAGTCCCAGGGGTGCTATTCCTGTGCCTCCACTGAGCAAAGAGTGTGGCTTCATCCTTTCTCAAAACATGAGGCCTCTGTGCCCAGCTTTTCCAGGAATGAYGCTCATAGTTCACGTGCCTGACGTKCTGGTYGTCTGGCAGGGAATAAACTCTTACTTATTTATTTCTTTATTTATTTTTGCCACTGGCAGGCAGGAAAAGCTTCTGCTCCCCAGCGTGCTGTTTAATCTCCCTCGGGTGCTTACTGGGGATAAAGCTGCTTAACATGAGAAAGAAATCCTGGAACTAGACTCCTGCAGGAAAGGTTGGTTCCTCTGCAGACCCTCCTGGAGAGGAGCATATTAATAGTAGGATTCTCCTTCAGCTGCCAGGGTGAGGTGGGGCTGTGTGGCCGCCCAGTCCAACTCTGCCAGCGAGTCCCTGGCCTGGCTCCAGCCCTGGGATAACAGGTGGTGGAAGGGAGGCTCAGAGCAGCCTTGGTGCCCTTCTCCAGCTGGCAGTTGCAGAAGGTGTTAAGCTGAATGTGGCCAGGGATGATTTGGCAAGGGCTGACCATCCTCCTGTGGCAGTCTCAGAGCTTTTTCCCCTTGGCTGCAGCATGCAAGCCCAGAGGAAGGATGGGCACCTTCCGTGGTGCCTCTTCACCAGGCAGCAGAGCTGCAGGGAGGACTGTGTGCTCTTGGAAAGGGATGTGCTGCTTTTAAACAATACTCCAGGGAGCTCTTTATGTAGCACTTGGGAAGCCCCACGATCTTGCTTTTAAGCCCTGTTGGAGTGCCTGTGTGCCCTCTCCCAGGTGTGTATGTGAGGAATGTGCCTGCTCCCGACCTGCCCTGTGAGCACGGAGCTCCAGCATTAACTCTTCCCAGCCTGCCGTGCCCCAGCTCCCTGCCAGGACCTGCTTCCTAGAAGTACATACCTTAAAACCTGGAGAGTAATTATGGAGGTGCCCAGCAGCCCTCTGACTTCCCYGTCAGATGAACCTGTAATGCGAGGCCACTGCCCACAGGAAAAGTTCCCTGTACAGTTTGAGAAGTTCTTGCGGCTTCCAGGAACTTCCCCATCCTTGCTCAAGAGGATGATGAAGAATGAGTTCAGGGAACGCTCCCATGTAATCTTATTTATGCTTGTGAGTCAGTAATTTCCTTGTTATGTGCTCTGCTGGTAAACACTGTCTGTCCTGATTTAAATGGGATTTTCTGATRGCCAGACCTGGTGCGTTCCACGGCGTGCACTAAGCACTGTGGCTGTGTGCTGCTGCTCTGCTGGTGGCTGGGCTGATCTGATAAGGCCAGTGGGCTGTCCGGCCACCTCAGGGCTTCAGCCTGGCTTTTCTTGAGCCACCCTTGCTTGGACATTTCTGGCTGTGAGTCATGGTGAAGCACAGGCTGAGCTGGCACCGGGTGTGGCTCAGCACAGCACTTGCCAATATCAGTCTGCCCCGTGCAGGATTGTGCAAATCTGCAAGAACAAGTGCTCCCCAACCCCGAGAATTGGGTCCTTCCTGCCCCTCGATGAGATGGCCAGAAGCTGCCCTGGGAACAGCTACTGCATGCTGGCAGCAGTTTCCATTGCAGGGCTGGCTTTGGCTGGGTTTCGCATATCTTGAAATGAATTTGCCTTGGAGCGAGTGATCCGTAACGCTAGGAATGCCTGATTCCAGGCCGGGAGAGGATTTCTTCCAGGCTGACCTTCCTCCCAGCCCCCTTCCCAGCRTCTAGTGCCAGGCTTGGCATAGCAGAGAGAGGGGTTCTGGGAGAAGTGGCCATTCGTGCCCTCTGGGCTGTTCATCTGGTTATCCTGTAGCGGGGTTGCTGRGGAAACCAAAAATGCCTCAATAAGCAAGGAAAAGCACATCCAGTGCCGCTGCTCCTGGTGCAAAATGAGAAACATCTTGTGCTTGTTTGTGGCAAGCAGGGGAGMGGGGCTGGGGCTGTGGCAGAGGAAGCTGACACATGGCTTGTGGCTGATTGTTGGCCACGCTCAGGGATCGATAGCGGATGTAATTCATCACCTCTGGGCTGTGGGATGGGCCACACCTGGCCAGGTGAGCAGGATAGCTGATCCCAGCTGCTCAGGGCTCTGTGGTGCTGCCACCCAGCTCTCAGTGTCCCCAAGTCTCTGATCCTCCTCACCCTKCTGAGGCTGTAGCCTGGTGAGCTTGTACATGGAGAAAAACCCTTGGATTTGTGGGACTGTGGAATGCTCTCCTGGGCAGACAAAACATTTATTAGGACTTCCCAGTCGTCCTGTGAGGACAGCATGAAGGAATGTTGCTCTCTTAGCCCCCAGCAATGGGACCCATCCATCTGCATTGTGCCTCTTGCCTTAGGGGAAGGGGCTGAGTCCCCCTCCGTGGTGATGATCCCATGGCTGTGGCAGCACTGCAATCTGGGCTGGTGTTGAGCAATCCCACAGCTCATACCTGTGGTACCCTCACCGGGGCTGGCCCCAGGGCTGTGGGGCCAGGAGAAATAGTTCTGGGCAGTTGCATAACTTTGGTGAGGGCAGGAGATTGGTGCTTGTGGCTCCTTGAAAGGTCCAAGTGCAAATGAGCTGTGGGGTGCAAATTGCCCTTGTGGCCAAACAGCTGATATCTGGGAGGCTCTCCAGCTTTTGTGCTGTAACTGTGCTGCTTGGGCCTTTGGATTGTGGAGATATTTTATAGGTTTGTTTGTTTACATGCTTTTTAAAAAGGTGAGGCAGGGAAGCTCTTCCTTCAGGCCAGTCATTGTTGATAGTGAGTGCTCTTGAACATCAGCCTGCATTGCACCGAAGCTCAGCTCAACTGGCAGACCGGTTTTTAACCCCTGGGTGATAAAATAGGTTTGTTCTCAGTAAAAGAAGYGAGGAATTGCTTTGGTGCTATGCAAAAAACTGACCTATACGTGCCAGGCTTTGTCCCTGGGAATAGCAGGTCCTTCCAAACTCTGCCTTATCACAAACTGAGGGTATTGCTTTTCCAAAGGCTTTTGTTACAAACTCCTGACCAAGATCCTGTTGTGCTATTTTCACCCTGTGTGTTCAGGTGAACCTCTTGAATCTGTAGCCCTCAGGAAATTCCCCTCCCAGACTGGTTCTTGCTTCTGTTCTGGGAAATTCTAGGGGAATTCAGCAGATAAAGATGATGCTTTTGGTGGAGAGGAAGTTCAGCATTTCATGTTTTTCTGGTGGAAGTGATGTGCTCAGCACAGGCTCTGAACCCTCTTTAAAATGCTTCTGACGAGTTTTCTGATATTTAACATGTTTCCAYCCCCTTTTACAGGTGAGAGAAACTGAAACCATGGATGCTGGATGGCTTGACTACCCTGCCTCTGGGGACTTGCCAGACGATGAAGACATCGGTGAATTCAGGCCTTACTTAACCTCTGATGGGTTGGATATAGATGAGACATCTGGGTCAGGAGGTAAGTGGGGAAATGGATCTCCCTCAGCTGTTGCTGTGAAATTTCTTTCAGCACCAGCCTTTGAGTGATGGGCTAAATCACAGCCAGAGCTCCAGAGGAACCACAGTGTCAGGTGGAGATGAAAACTGTGACTCGGATGAGAGCAGTGAAAGTGGTGGTGCTGTGATGTTGAATCACTCRCGGAGGACAGATGGAGTCCAGCCAAGCTTGTCTTGCTGCAAGTGAAAAGGCCTTGTGCTTGGCTGGATGTCTTTCCTGTTGAACTCCAAAGAACTGCTGAGAAACTTTAAAAAAAAAAATACCTATTGTTGAGGCAGTGTTAAAAGGCTTAAAGTTAATGTCTCAGTTGAGGCCAAACAAGGTAAAGGACYAACTGGCGTTCAAGTGAACTCTCTGTGACATGCAAAGCTCCCTGCCCAAACCAGTTTCTGTAGCTCTGTGTCCCTTTATGTGAGGATTTGTTCTTTAAAAGTAAAGGAACAAATGCTGAAATCGGTGCCTGACATGTTTGGGCAGATCTGGAGGGTTGGTGAGCGATCCTGTAGGGATGGGCGGTGGGAGCAGTGCCCTCCGTTGGCATTGCCTTGTGAGCTGTGCCAGAGCTGCTCTGCAGGGGCCAATGGATCTGGCTGAAGAGCCCTCCCAGCAGAGAGGTGTTGGTTTCAAGATTAAATCTCGTGGTCTTGTGCAATCCGAGTCATTAAATGATAAATAGTACCAGTAGRTAAGGGGGAATTGCAGAGGACAAGTGTCTCAGTTCATGTGCAATTGCTGGTAATACAGGAAGTGTSTGAATTCTGTAAAATTCTGTAAAAACTGTGTGTAATGAGACCAAAACTTGAGAGTCCTTTTTTTTGCTCTTTCTGCAGACTACTCAGACTCTGAAGATGCCATATATCTGACCACCATGGACACCCCTGTGGTAGGTATTGCTCCTGTGTGGTTTTAAGCAATATTTAGCTYCTCTGCTCTGTCAGTGAAACTTTCTGAGCACCCTCCCCACCCCTGCAAGACGTGGCATCGAGATGAATCCACCTGCATGAGCAGGAACAGTGACTCGTGAGGCACTGARCAAACTTTGTGTGCCCTGCACACCCTCCTGCTCTCAGCTGTGGGTGCTGCTTGCTGACGGGTGTGGTCTGTCTGTGCTCTGTAGATATCTGACAACTATATCCCTGGAGATACCGGCAGAAAGATAGAAGGTGAGAAGAAAAACACCATGGTGGACAATGAAATCATTCCAGACAAAGCTGTACCTGTCGAAGAGAACCTGTCCAACAAGATCTCCATGGCAAGCACAGCCAACAGCAGCATCTTTGAAAGAACAGAAGTCCTTACAGGTAATACTCCACCTCGTCCTGGTAAATCATTAATGCTGAAAATCAAAATGGCTCCTGTTGTTCCCTGTTTCTCTGGGGAGCAGCTCCCTGCTGACAGGGGGAATGAATTGCTTTACCTCTGTGGTTCCGTGGAGCAGGGTGGCTTCTGCCTCCTAGTCCTCAAACACAACAGAGCCTGCTGCTGTGTTTGCTGGGATAAACAGCTTGTTTTTGAGCCTGCCAGCTGCCTGTTGGCTTAAAGCACRTGGCAGCTGCTCTGCACCCAGGTACTGCCTCAACAAGGGGCGTACCTGACCATAAACCAGTGACATCACAGACTTGCATATCAAATACAGCCATTTTCCTCTCAAATTGTGCCCAGGTCCTGCCTTTTCTGAGCTTTGCCAGGAGCCAAGCAGCCCCTCTGAGGGGTTCCACGTGTGGTCAGCTGTAGGAATTTGAGTACCAAGTCTAAACCAAAACCAGGCCACTGGCTTCCCCTCAGCATGTGGGACAGGTCTGTCTCCASTACATTGCTTGGCCTGATGGCCTCAGCCCTTTGTGCTGACCTGCAGCCATYCTTCCAGCTGGAAAAGAGATGGAAAGAGTGGATTGCAAAGCCATCTAGCAAAGAAGCTGATTTAGTGTGAGGAGTGGGTGGGAGAATGAGGGATAAATGTCACTGA